CGGTCAAATCAGTTAAGAGTATTGTTAATCACTACTCCTGCTAGTAATGGACTATCATCTGTTTCCTAGCAGAGCATGGGAACTCGGGCAGTATCGAATTAAAAAAATTCATCGGTTCTTAGTCAGGAAGGAAAGAGTTTGATTTTTTAAAATAAAATTTTAAGTTCGCGTAAATGAAAAAATAGATATTGAAAAAATTATTTTTAAATAAGATTTGATGTGATTTAATTTTAAATTAATTGAGATATAATGTAATTGTAAAATATTAAGAGATTAATAAAAAAAAATCAAGAAAATTCTAGTAGTATGATATTATTTTGGACGTTCAGGCCCACACGAAATGGTGAGAATCTAAGATAAGAAGGGAATAAAATTGAGGAAGGATGGATAACAGGCCAAGTGCCATTGCCGACCTGCAACTGGTATTCTCAAAAGCAGATATCACATATACTTTTTTCTTTTCTTTTTTATTTTTGAACTAATATAATTAAAAGATAGAGATTAAAGATTGTTAAGATTTAAATTTTTAAATGATATTATACTTTTAAAAAAATATATAATCATTAAAATATAATTATAGTTGATATACTTTTTCATTTTTTAATAATTTAACATATTACAACCAAGATTCCTCTTTAAATAGTACCATCCCGCTATCAATTTGAGTGGTTTGAGTAAATAAGGACAGCATTTAGTTTCTTTGATACTAGTGCAAAAGGCAAAGATGCTAGCCAAGAAAAAAAAAGGCCAAGTGTACATCTCGTGGAATTGCCACGAGGAACAAGAATGCATATGTCAACACTTGCATGCGCTAGATAACAACTTATATTCCCAAGCCATTTTTTTTTTTTTTAAACATTTAAAATTTTTTGACTTTGTTTTTGCATATAAAAACAATTTTAAAAATATATCTTCATATTAATATATTTTAAAATTTTATTTTTTTAAATATTAATTTTAAAACTTAAATTTTAAATTTAATTTATAAAATAATATTTATTTATCACTAAATTTAAAGAGTCTCAACCTAATATTTGTTTTTGAACAATTTACAATTTAAAGAAAGAGAATATATTCCAAAGTGTTGATAAAAATCAAAATCCCATCAATTAACTTAAACGCTTTGAGATTTAAAGATGAATTATTTGGAGCCCAAGGTTTATTTCGATTCTCAACCTAATATTTTTTTTTTTGAACATTTTAATCATAGGATTGATTCAAACAGTTACCTTTAAAGAGAAGATATGAAGTTCATAAAAGTGATTAGAGACACTTACTTCACAGCGTCATCTTCGATTCCCAACCTAATATATATATATATTTTTTGAACAGTATTACATGGGGTGGATTTGAACCCTGCCCGGGAAAGGAGGAATGCATCTTATGTGGTCAGAGACCACTTGACCCCAAGGGCCAAATATTCCCAACCTAATATTAAAAGTAAGAAAAAGATCAATTTGTATATTATAAATAACGTACTTACGTGGCAGACTGACAATTCCACTCTTAAAGATGTATATGTTATTGAGTCTGACATCTCTATTATATGAATTTTTTGTCAACATTATATTATATGATAGGTCCACTATTTGCATGCACATCAAAGTACACATACACCATTGCCTTTAAAAAAAAAAAAAAAATCAAGTACACGTGCAGGACTCATATATCTAAATTTGTTCCAATAGTGGGGTGATTGGGTCCGTTGATGAGTATGGTAGTAAAAAATTATTGTAACTTATTAGTAGTAGCCAGCTGCAAAATCTTTCATTATATATATTAGTCATTGAGATTCTTTCGAAAACAAAGTTGTAAAGCTTAGAAATAAAACAAAAATCATGACAAGGTGCAACACAAATCCTCACTTTACCATTGGTGCTATCTGTGTAATAAAGTATGGTAGTAACGTATGTAAGAAGTTAATTTTGTTACGTACAGAGGTTTTAATTTGAAGATAAAATAATCACACTTACAAGAATATCTGATCATATAATGCAAATAAAAAAAAGCATGAAAATATATAGTCGCTTTCTTTATGATTATGATTATTTTTTGATAAATTAATATGATTAATGCTAACAATAGTTTAGTTGAATTAGTGTCTATTGATTTAAAAATTTTAATTTAAAAATTAAAATTAAGTATTCAAACTTCTACAATACTAAATAAATAACTTTTAATGTATCAAAAAAATAATTAATTAGATTTGGTTGAAACGGAAACTTAAAAAAAAAAAAAAAAGGAAAAAGAAAAAAGGAAAGACATTAGTGTTTACATTTTTGTCCAGATTGATATAATTGGGCCAAAAAATAAAAAAATTCCAGATTGATATGGACTTGATATTTGATGAGAAGTTCGTTCCATAAAATGGATTTGGTTGGGCCCAAGATCCTGCTTGCTTGGAGCCTGATCCAGTATACAACTGGCCCCAAGTGGCGAACGTGTGAATAACGACCTTTTCGTGCGACTGACGTGGCATGCGACAGGTGTAACTACCGAAAGAATCGGATACTGGAGACACCAGATCCCACCACCTGTCCAAAGTTCGAGATTCGTTCTGTTGTTTTGTGTCGCCGTGTCTACCATGACTCCCTGATTTTTAAGATATTTGCTTCTGAAGGACCAAATTTTGTGAAGCCCTTACGTTTTGGTTCTCCCTCTCTATTTAATAGTAGCATAATTTAAGATAGCTAAGATACATACTTAAAAAAAAAATTTGGCTATTAAATTATTTTCTGCTAAATGTTATTAAATTCAAAAGTGCTTGTGTTTTAGGAAAAAGAATATAAAAATATGTAATTTTTATATATACTCTTAAAATAATTTTAAAATAATATGAATATTCAGATCTTAGACCTTTGAATTTGATGTTCAATTAATTAATTGTATTTTTTTTAATTCAAAAGAGATGAAATTGAATCACTAACTCCAACATAGAAATGCTAACTTTAAATTAATATTTATTCACTAACATCTATAACATATTTAAAAGTAGTTAAGAAAGCATAAAGCCAAATGACTTCATTATCCTCATGTGATGGTGGTAATCTACTTTTTGTTTGGAAGTAAAGCATAAATTCAAGTTATGATAGCATAAAAAGGATAATAAATGGTAAACAAAATAATCATCTTTTATTTTAAATTAATACTCGTTGAATTTGACAAACTTAAGATCTATAAAACAACAAGAAAGAACATAGATGAGTTAGGAGTCAAAGGGTTTCTAGTGAGATTGTTATCACCATCGAATGGTTTATTTTGCATCATAAACCATGATAATTTATGTAAAGGAAAAAAAGAAACAAAATAAGAAGTTATTCACTTGATGGATAAATGAGAAGAAGTTGAGGAACCATTATTCATATATTTGCAAAATATGAGAACCCAAAAGTCAATTACATAGAATACACACAGAAAGAGTGCAGAGGAAAAAACAGATTGCTTTCTATTTTGCAGATAAGAACATGAGAGTCTGAGACTCTGAGATCAATATGGTTTCATTAATCTCAAGTTACTACATTGGTAACCCAAATTACACAGGCGTCCGTATCTTCCCCACCACATATCCACTGTTCCGATCTCTTTAATACTCCTTTCTTCGTCGTCTTGCTCGATGAAATGTCTCAGGGAAGAAGCTGCACCTCATGCACCGCCATGAATGAAAATCTTTGAATTCTCTGTCACATCATCTTCCTCGGTCCTTACTTTCAACTGGGTAGATCTCAAATCTTGAAAGAAAATGTCTTTCTTCTTTGGTTGGATCACTGGACTCTTCATCGGTATTGGATTGATCGTTGCGTTTGCTCGTTATGAGAAAATCCGATCCTCTCGTCGTTGCAATCTGGTATTTTCTCCATCTTACACATCTGGGATTTTCATTACAATGCAATCAGCATTTTATGGAGCTTGGTTTTGATGATTTCTGGTTTTTGTTAGGCGTCGACCGTGGCTGCATTTGCAAAGATAACAGTGCAGGATACGAAGAAGCTTATACCGCCCAAGAATTACCCTTCTTGGGTTGTTTTTTCTCAGCTACAGAAGTTAAGTTCGGCTTATTTAATATGATTATCCACCTCTCTGTGTCTCAATAGTATGATTTGGTCTCTGATTTTGGTTTCATTGTTAATTACAGTTAGCTTGGCTTAATCAAGAACTTGACAAGATTTGGCCATATGTTAATGAGGTAATTCACTTTCTTTGTTGAAATTGTTCGGTTTTTTCTTTTTTCTTTTTTTTTTTTCATGGTAAAAGTTCTTTATTTCCATTTTTGGGTGGTTATTACATGATTGCATGGGCAGCATGTTGGAATTGTTCGGGTTATATATATATATAGAGAGAGAGAGAGAGTAAAAAATCTTTATTTCCATTTTTGGGTGGTTATATGATTGCACAGGCAGCATCAGAGCTGATAAGAAGTAGTGTTGAGCCAATTCTGGAACAATATACGCCTGCTGTGTTGCAATCTTTAAAGTTTTCAACATTGACTCTTGGGACAGTGGCTCC